AGGTAAGTGCACCCATGTCGTGCAATGCCCGTGGAGGACAGAAGAGGCTGTCAGATCCCCTGGAAGTGGAGTTACTGACTTGTTGGCTGCCATGTGGGTGCTGGGATTTGAACCTGGGTCTTCTGCAAGAACAGTCAGTGTTCTTAACTATTGAGCCATCTCTCCAGTCCCTACAATTATATCTTATATTATAATTTAATTAGCCATTATCTACTTTTGAATTTAAATTTTATATTATCCTAATTATACTGTAATGGATTTTTCTGTGTACAAAGCTTTCTCTGTTTAAGGAGGGGATGTCATCTCCTGGTAATACATTCCCTGCCTGTGATCCCAGCACTGAGGAGGCTGAGGCAGGAAGGTCCCAAATTCAAGGCCAGCTTAAACTATGTAGTAATTTTTTTTTTTTTAAAGAGGGTAGTATTTCTAAAGCTTTGATGGGTTCTGACATACTTTTCTGCTTACATGTTTTCAGCATCAGAAAGTGAGATGCTATGTGAAAACTGGTACAAATATATTAATGGAGTATTGGGGCAGATATTTGGAACTGGAACTATAAGAAGAGAACCAGTTCTGATTACCATGCTCACAGATAATATATTCTGGCTGCATTTTGGAGGAAATTTTCTGAAAGATTATGATATTAAGCCTATGAATTCAGGTAAAGATCTTACTGTATCTAAACGTTTCCTATCAGGCATCTTATTTAGAGTAATATCAATAACACAGCCTGTTCAAATTTTCCTGAAAAAAATTTATCTTTGTGGTAACAGGGACTCTTCATGTACACCAAGCTGGCCTGGAACTCAGGGTTCTCCTGCTTTAGCTCCTTGAGTATTGGGATTACAGATGTGTGCCACCACACCTGGATTCAAATCTGCTTCATCTGTTTTTTTTAATTTATTACGTTTATTTATTTATTTACATTTATTTATTATTCATTTATTGTGTGCCATAGTGCATGTGTGGAGGTCACAGGACAATTTGTGGGTGCTGGTTCTCTTGTACCATGTGGGTCCTTGGGAGTCAAACATAGGTTGTCAGGCTTAGAGGCAAGCACCTTTACCCAAAGTCATCTTGCCAGCCCCAAATATGTTTTTTTGTTTTTATGTTTTGTTTTTGCTTTCTTTGTTTGTTTTTCAAGATAGGGTCTCCCTGTAACTCCAGCTGGCCTGGAACTCTTGTGTGGACCTGGCTGACCTTGATCTCACAGAAATTCACCTGCCTCTGCCTCCCCAGTGCTGGGCTTAAAGGTGTGAGCCACCACACCCAGCCCCAAATCTTTATTTTATTTTATTTATTTATTATTATTATTATTTGGCCTTTTTGAGACAGGGTCTCCCTGTACCTCCATCTGGCCTGGAACTCACTATGTAGACCAGGCTGACCTTGAACTCACAGAGATCTGTCTACCTCAGCCTCCTGAGGGCTGGGATTAAAGGCATGCATCACCACGCCCAGCCTCCAAATATGTTTTCAAAAGAAATTTCTTTGGGGCTGGAGAGTTGGCTCAGCGGTTAAGAGCACTGGCTGCTCTTGTAGAGGACCCAGGTTTGGTTCCCAGCACGCACATGGCGGCTAGGAACCATCCTTAACTCCAGTTCCAGGGGAATCTAAAGCCCTCTTCTGACCTCTGCGGCATTGCATGACACGGGTGCACTCACATACATGCAGGCAATATACTTGTACACATAAAATAAAAAAATAATAAAATATTTAAAAAAAGAAGTTTCTCTGTAATGTGAAAAGAAAACTTTTTATAAACTGGGTGTGATGGCACTTTATCATCTCATGAGTATTTTCTCTACAGATTCTACTATCAAAGCAAGTCAGCAGAGGTAGGTTCACAGTACTAGGAACTCAATAAATACTTGTTTAACTGTTTAAAATTAGACCTTATGAAAGGACCTGGAGCAATAGTGCATAACAAGTAAATGTTAGTGCCAAACAACTACCTGAGTTCACTCTTACTGTATTTCTGAAACAGATGTCTGAGAGAAAAAGGGATGAAGACAGTGGGACAAGCACTTCAGTAAGTAAAGGTGAGAGTCAGTGCATACCTGCTATTGGACTAGGAGGAAAGAAATGTGTGCTGAGTGTGGAAAGCAAACAGCAGAAATGAAAAAACAGTATTATAAGGCCACTCCACACCAGCAAGGGCCCCATGGGTGAGCTCCTTGCTTTTCTCCTCCCTGCTGTAGAAGGAAAGCTCAGATGCTTTAGCAGAGACACCAGAAGCTATAAATTACTGGCAGACAGAGCTCAGCCTCTCCTGTCATGTCTCAGCACTTTCCCTTCACAAAGCTTTGTGTGCATATGTAATTTGTGTGCATGTGTATGTTTATAAAAATTCATTGATATGAAAGCTGTGTATCACACAATTTGTAAATAAACAATTAGGTATATAGTACTCCTTATGTTAAATTCATTTTTCAAAGAAATATTTTATATGCTGGGCATGGTGGCGCACACCTTTAATCCTAGCACTTGGGAGGCAGAGGAAGGGAGATCTCTGTGAGTTCTAGGCCAGTCTGGTCTACAGAGTGAATATGCATATTCATATGTATATATATCTATTTTTATGCATATGAGTGTAATGCATGCATGTAAGTGCAGCTGTGCCATGCAATGCCCACAGAGGTCAAAAGAGGGTGTCAGATTCCCCTGACTGGAGTTAAGGGATGTTTGTGACCATATCGGTCTTAGGAACCAAACCCAGGAGCAACAAGTGCTTTTAATGCTGAGCCATCTCTCTAGTCCCTAAAATCATAAATGAGTATAAAACTGTTCCATTTACATAGTTTGAACTAATCCAATGCCCACAGAGGTCAAAAGAGGGTGTCAGATTCCCCTGGAACTGGAGTTAAGGATGGTTGTTAGCTGCCATGTGGGTGCTGGGAACCAAACCTGGGTCCTCTGCAAGAGCAGCCAGTGCTCTTAACAGCTGAGCTATCTCTCCAGCTCTCTTATATTAAATTAGTTATAGACAACTGATTTCATACACTATGCTCTTCTTGATTTTTTTGCCAGACCCTTGCTTCTCCTGAGCCATTCAATAGTTGCATATTAATGAACAAGTATAGTTTTAGCATAAATAGTAATGTCCTCAAATAAGGACTAAAGTGAAAATGAGACAGAAGATGTATGTTGGAATGTAACTTACTTGTCAATACAACTATAATAGCTTTAGAACACTGGAAAAAAATTTTTTTTGTCTTTTTCAGAGTTTCTCTGTGGTCCCAGCTGGCCTGGAATTCACTTTGTAGACCAGGCTGGCCTTGAACTCACAGAGATCCACCTGCCTCTGCCTCCCCAGTGCTGGGATCAAAGGCGTGTGACACCACATGTGGCTTGGAAAAGTATTTTTAATTGTTATTTTTAATTATGTGTATAGGTGTTTGTGTGTGGGTATGTGCATATGAGTACAAGTGCCCATGGAGGCCCGAGGTGTCAGATCCCCCAGGAGCTGGAGTTACAGATGGTTGTGAGCCAGCAGACATGGTTGCTGGGAATTGAACTTGAGTCCTCTGGAAGAGCAGCAGGAAGTATCCTTAACCACTTAGCCATTTCTCCTGTCCCTGGAGGAATACTTCTTAAATTTGGTGTGCCGTTCACAGTGTAGTGGCTGCAGGTGTGACAGTGAAATCTACATTAGTAGCATGTTTGTCATCACTCTCTTAAGCCTAGACAATCAGTGGAACCAGGTACAAGCCCTGATCCTTTTGCTAGTTTTCAGGTAAATGCCCTCACCCATGGTGCTTTGAAGCTAGCAGCACAAGGTCACTGTACACAGAGTGATGTACAATAACAACACATTCCTACACAGTGTTTCCCACACCCAAATAGGGTAGGAACAGCCACAGGAGCACACAGTATAATGCACTGAAGTAATTAGGAAGTGACAAATATCAAGAAATCATCAGCTTTTTTATAGATGGACTTAATTGTACATTTGTGTAATTTGGTTAGTAATGATGGCTTAACTGTCTCACAAAACTTCCAAACATTTTCTGGATCTTTGAGATGGTACAAGTCAACTTCAGCATACCATGGCAGGAAGAAAGGGAGGGACTTCTTGGACCTTGCTACCTAAAACACATTCATAAATACACTTGAGTCTTGGAGACTTCAAGACAAAGGTGGCGGTAGGCTTCCTTGGGTAACATGAAGTTACAGTAATCAGTTACATGCCTAACTTTCAATTTGTTTTGTTGGTTAGCAAGCAAAGATATGTCCTATAAGCGGCAAAGTAAAGATAGTTCCTGGGACTCTTCACAAATGTTGAAGAAACCAAAGCAGAGCCAACTTTCCCCAGTAACTGAATCTGAAGTGGCTTTGATCAATGCCTACCTTGAACAAAGACGAGCCAGGCACCACTCTCAGTACCACCAGGTGAGCCCGATCCAGCATGACAGTGATACTACTGAGTGTGACAGTGAAGAGTCCAACTCAGGAGCCTCCTCGTGGAAGGAGAGTGAAAGTGAGCACCATCCATCACCAACCAGTATTAAGAGGAGAAAAACAGTACAGAGGCAAAAGAATCTGGGAAATTACCAAGTCAGAGAAAGACCCTGCCTCCACTGCAAAGCCATGAGAACCAATGAATGGTTGACACGCCATTTCCCACAAAGCACGTCAGTAACAGCCCCCATGAAGGGAGATGTTCAAGAGGAAAATTCCACACCTGACACTAATAAACAAATTCAGTAAATTTAGAATTTTGGCATCTTTACCTTACTTAAAGTCAAAAGAAGATGAATAAAACATGAAAACTAGCAGTCATAGGGGAGACTTTTACAATAAAGCCGCTTTACTAACAATGAAAACATAATTGGAATCTAACAGGTCAAATTTCAAACAATTCTTCATTCAAAATAAGGCCAGTGAATTGTTTATGGCACCACTGGAACACTGAAGATGTGTCTCTACTATGACCTTGTTTTTATTCAAAAGAGCACAGGACAGCTACTCCATACCCTGACTATATGTATTTTGTTTATTCCTATGATACAAATATGGAAGCTCTTTGAAAATATATTTATCTTGAGAAACCATTTAAATTTATTCATATGTTTCAGTTGTCTGACTAAACATAACGAGGTGATTTTTTTTTTAATTTAGGTGACTCTACTAGAGCTGTATTGCTATGTGAGTCCACTAAGGGCTGTTGAAGAAAAGCTTAAGGGCCTGGACCTTATTTCTCGAGTGCAGCAGAGAGGAGAGTAGGACTCTGAAGGCCTGGGCCATGGCTTGTCCACAGTTGGTCTAAGGCAATTGCAAGAGTCAGAACTTTTGTCCTGACACTTGTTAAGATGTGAAGAAAGATTTTATCCAAGATTATTGCAGTAGAGGTCAATAAGAGACATTAATTGAAATGAGTTTCTTCTAGTGATTTATAGCCAAGGAGAAGGATGAAGGGGTCATTGGATGGAACTTACTAAAAGAGGATAGTGGGGCATTCCTGCTAAACTTACCCAACAGGATTATGATAAAGGTAGGACTTAAATATCTCAAATGTGGGCATGGGTAGCTCAGTCAACCTACCAAGGATCAAAGGTTGGGAGACTCTCATTAAACTTAGCTAAAACTGTGCTCAGTAGGCTAAGACAGAACAGGACCAAAGTTAAGGCCTAGCCGAGAAAACTTAAAAGTCTGTCTGATGTTTAAAGAGAGCCTTTATCATAAGTTAGCTAAAATCTAGGCATGGTTGGGGTAGATTTTTCCATTTAAGTGGAGGCCCCTAGCATGAGGAATTTAGGGCCAGCATGGATGGGTAGCCATTCTAGACATCATTTTCCAGGTGACTTGCAGGAACCCATCTGGGATATAAAACAAGGTCCAGATCATAGAGAGGACTGATAAGAGTAAGAAAAAGCGACATGGGCTCTGGTCAAGGGGCTAGAATTCAAAGAAGGATGTAAAACTTGGGGAAGGACTTGGGTACTATTTATGGTCAAGAATGTAGCCTAATACCAAAGACTAAGACTTTCATGGAGGACAGGGAAAGGAGCAATTCAGAGACCAGACAGCTATGACTTTGGGCTCAGGAGTCACTCTTGGAAAGAGCCAATTCCTTAACAACAGAGAGACCTTAGAACCAAAGCAGGAGCCTAGACCATTGGGATTTAACTAGGATCATCTGTGAGAACATTAAACAGAAAATAGAGGCTAAGGGCTGCAAATGTAGCTCAATTGGTAGAGCGCTTGCCCAGCATACAAGAGGCTTTGACTTTGACCCCTGCACTGCATAAAACAGGCATGGAGGGTACACACTTACAATCCCAGCACTGGAGAGGTGGAGGCAGGAGGGTCAAGAGTTCAAGGAGTTCAGGGCCAGCTTGGGATACATGAGACCCTGTCTAAAAAGAAAAAAAGATTGGAGGTGGGAAGATATTCAAAGGCAAGGGGAGAGTTATCACAAACCAAATAGGAGAGATGTGGTTGGCTAAGGAGCAAAAGCACTGTCAGGTAGTTTGGGACCGGGTTAATGAGTGTAGTGCAGAACTGGTGAGGTGGGAGGTGGCTCATGAAACCAGGGCTGCAAACACTGGTCATGGCTGGATATTGCCTATGTGCAAAGCCTGATGGGAACTCTTAGGGTGGGCCCCCATGCAGCATGGCAGTCTGCCCTTCAGTCTCTCCTAGTTGGATGGAATAAATGGAGTTTTTTCTAACATTTATGGTCAAAGCCTGTCTGGGTGGCTGGTTTGAGGGAAGCCTTGTCTTCATCTGGTGACTGACATCCGTGCAGTAAGTGACAGAACAAACTTCGGTGACTATATCAAGTACCACAATTCTTATCAGGTGCTGAGGTGCAAGAAACTGTGGGAAACAGGGAAGGTTCTGACTGAAATGGATGCAGTGAAGGGAGACAGGATGTAGGGGAGGTATGTGTAGAAAGGTAAGGATTGAGAGAGCTGGGAACAGGACTGCGAGGTGGGCTGTCTCAAACTCTGCTGCCTAGACTAGGTGGTGCAGTTTTGATTGGAGGAGCAATGAGCCAATAGGTTCATTAGTGGTGGCAGGGATGGAGACAGTGCCACATTGTTGCCAGAAGCAGTCTGAGGAGTTCCCTTTATCTGTTAGGGACCTAGACTCAAGTAAAACTAGATCCTGGACTTCAACATAGAAAATAATTTGAGAAAAAACCAGTATGAAGCAAAGTCGGATTTTACTAAAAACAAAAGATTTTGTGGTTATGGGTTTCTCAAAGAAGAGTCACACTTAAATGACAGGTTTAATCATCTATACAATTTTGTCTCTTAAGTAACAAAGTGCTGCTAAGAAACTTTCTCCTACTTTGTTCTTTGTTTGATAAGTAAGATTGTACATTGACTCCGGAGATGCCTGGCATGGGCTTATCATCTGATAAGATAAAACCAGGAGCCACTGGTGTTTCACAAGGGGTTTAAGACAAGCCTTTTACTATAAATGGGGTTTCTAGTAAGAGTCCTAGAAAATTGTAGGTTTATAGCTGAGAAAGAAAAATGACCTTAAGCAAATGTTAATGTGATAGAATTCTTCTCATCTGGCTGAGACTTCAGATTCCTAGGTGAGGGACTCTTTCCCTGCCCATTTCCCCATAATTTCCCCTGTCTTTCTATAATAGAAATATAATAACACGTGTATTGGGTAACATTTAGAAAATACGTGCTGAATGCCAGGCACAGGCAAGCACTTATAAAAGACTATCTTTCACAAGCCTGCAAAATAGATATTATCCCAACATGGCAGATGATGAAATTGAGGCATGGGGGAACTAACATATCCAAGGTCACGTACCTGGTAAATGTGAGAGAACTGAATTTTGAGTCATATCTAAACACAAATATTCCCCCATCATGACATAAGTTATCGTTTTTTTTTTTTTTTTTTTTTTTGAGACAGGGCCCCCCTGTAGCCCCACCTGTCCTGGAACTCACTATGTAGACTAGGCTGGCCTTGAACTCACAGAGATCCGCCTGCCTCTGCCTCCCAAGTGCTGGGACTACAGGCGTGCGCCATCATGCCTGGCCAAGTTATCCATTAAAAAATAAATTTTTTTAACCATTTTTATGTGTATTGCCTGCATGTAGGTAAGTGCACACTTGTCATGCAATGCCGCTGAGGTCAGAAGGGGCTCTCAGATCCTCTGGGACTGGAGTTATGGACAGTTGTTAGCTGCCATGTGGGTGCTGGGATTTGAACTTGGGTCTTCTGCAAGAACAACCAGTGTTCTTAACCACTGAGCCATCTCTCCAGCCCCTATCCATTTTTTAAAAGTATTTTTTAAACTATTTATTTATTTATTTTTATCTTATGTGTATGTGTGTACTGCCTGCATGTAGGTAAGTGCACCTGTGTCGTGCAATGCCCACAGAGGTCAGAAGAGGCTGTCAGATACCCTGGGATTGGAATTATGGACAGTTGTTAGCTGCCATGTGGGTGCTAGGATTCGAACCCAAGTATTCTGCAAGAACAACCAGTGTTCTTAACCATTGAGCTATCTCTCCAGCTCTAAATTTATCCATTTAAATTAATTTGTTTTGTATGTGTTTGGACATGTACATGCCATGACATGCATGTGGAGGACAGAGAAAAACTTGCAGGAGCTGGACCTTTCCTTCCATGTGGGTCCTGGGGTTTGAACTCAGGACATCAGGCTTGACATCCAGTGCCTGCCCTTATCCATATTCTTTTTAAAAAATATTTTATTTATTATTTTTATTTTATGTGTATGAGTGTATTGCCTACATGTATGTGAGTGCACCTGTGTCATGCAGTGCTGTGGAGGTCAGAAGAAGGCTTTGGATTCCCCTGGTACTGGAGTTAAGGACAGTTCGTAGCTGCCTTGTGGGTGCTGGGAATCAAACCCGGGTCCTCTGCAAGAGCAGTCAGTGCTCTTACCCGCTGAGCCATCTCTCCAGCCCCCCATATTCTTAATAGATCACAACTAGATAAAAACTTGGCACACCATATGCTAAGCCCAGTTTAGAAGATCAGAGGAAGACTGCGAATGGAAAATGCAGCCAAGAGTAAGAAACTGGGTGGAGATGGGAGCACTTCTAAGGGTGTGGGGAAGGGCTCATCTCTTTGGTAGAAAGGACTCAGCTTCTGTTTGCCTCAGCTACAGTGAGGAAGCCTGATTGGCCCAAGACAAAAAGGAGCAATGGGGGCTGGGCTGAAAGGTTTGGTGTGGGAATGACTTCTGGGACCAAGTTAATCATATGCTTTGAGATAATTTAGAACTACCTATTTGATCTACTATTATACCTATACTACCAAACCTATATTGATCTACTACCCGTTTGTTTTCCTATTGTACACTGAGCTTGTTTAAATTTAACTAACCTTTAAGAAAAACAATGATGGAATTAACTCTTACAAACTAAGCTGTATTCATCCTTAATCTCATACCATGTTCCCTATTGTGACTCTGTGATGCCCCTGACTCAGAACAATGCATATGTGTGTGAGATATGGTAATTAGACCTAAGACCACCACAGAAAGCAGCCATAGCATTGGAAACAATGTATCCCTGGCTAGTATTAGAAACAACAGGTGGGCATAGGTTGATGACACCTGTTTATTGTTTTGTATGGTGTTCTGCGTCAGTAGGATCAGGAAAGTAAGTCTTCCCTTGTAAACTCTGATTGAAGATTCTTGGAGACAAAGTTCTTCATTCCTTCCTTACCCCCTGCCTGATGTGCTGTTCAGTATAAAAGGAGGCCCTTTGTTCAGGGGGACAGGGCAGGTCTGAGAGAAGTCAAAACTCAAAACAGATCCAGCTCCCTCTTGGTTAAACGACTCCAAGAGGTAGTTTTTCTTTTATGCAGCACTGTCACAGCTTAGAAAGGCAAAAGTAAACTTGATACTGAATGTTGAGTAGCAAAGGGCAGTGGGTGGGTACCCTGCTCCATCCCAGGGCAGGGAGACTGCTGAAGGCACCACACCAGCTACTCAAGAAAACCAGAC